GATTTATCCTATGAACATAGAAGCCCTCTAAGTATAGCGTACTACCTTTTAAAGTCAGGCATACACTAGGCAACATGTTGCTGGCAACATTTGTGGTTACTTTGATCTTGTAAGCAACAGGTTGCCAGAAATAGAACAGCCTTCTATTTCTGGCAACATGTTGCTTACAAGATCAAAGTAGCCACAAATGTTGCATGCCAGAAACATGTTGCCTAGTGTATGACTGGCTTTAAAGTATAATTGACCATACATGACAAAATAAATACCGTATAATCCTTAATGCTAGGAATGATACTCTAATCTATGTATTATTATACTACTATAGCTGGTGCCCAATTTATGTTTGGAGTTAACCTTGACAGCCAATGTGATGAAGATGGTCATGCAAAAGAGCTACAAAATGCAACTGGTGCTGTAATAGATTCTCTTTATGAGCTTCAAACTGCATTTCTATTGTACAAAATAGTTGCCACATCATCGTACAAGCAGTTTAATAGAGGGCTAAACAAAGTTTATGAAATTGGTCGAAAATATGCTGATAAGTATATATCAGATATAAAAACAAGAGCTGCATTGAAAAAAGAAAGAGAGCATGGAACAAGTCTCATTGAGCAACGGCTCATTGAAGGCAACATGTCTCAAGATGAAGCTATTGGCAATGCTGTTAGTATGCTTGCAGCTGGTCTAGACACTGTGAGTCAATTGTAATTATTCATTCTCACTATTGTAATTTTTAATTACAGACCGCTGCCACTGTTTTAATTTATAGCAAATTTAAGATTTATAATTTTAAAAATATGCATATGTACCTTGAATGTTCACAGTTATATTGTGGGATTGTGTAGCATTGATCAAATTAGTGACATTGTTTCTAGCTTCACATGTATATGTTCCCTTATCTCTTTCATATCTGGTTATTTGTATAATTACTGCAGATTGTTGAGCTGAGGGATTAGATAATGTCAAATAACTATTTGGTTGCAGCTATTCATTATTGTGATACCAAATGATAAATGGTTGAGGAACACCTGTAGTAAAACACCAAAGGTACATCCTTTCAGTTTCATTTATTGTGATATTAGTCACATTAGAGGTGATAGATGATGGATCTGTAAAATAGGAATAATAAATCTTATTGTATTAGTTCAGTATCACTATG